CAGTGACATTTCAATTTTTTTTTTAAAGTCTACAGAAAAGTAAACATTGCTCTGATACCATAATGTACCGCCCCAAATTTTATTGACTTAAATTTTGGGGTGTTACCGATATCATTTCATAATAATATTCGAAATTGAAAATTTAAACTCTTAATTTATTTGAACATTTAAATACTGAATAAAACATAAAGTCACGAAGTCTAAAACATTTAATAGAGGTAAAAAAAAATATCGCAATAGAATTTATTATTGAATATTTATCCGAAAATTTTACTTGGCAACCCACGCACCACTCAACCACCATCCACGTTGACCGATTTAACTTGAAATGTTAAAATTTGAAGAAATGAGTAATTTAAACTTAGTATGATACGTGCGTCCAAAACAATATAATAACTTTTTAAACGTAAATTTACAACATTCCATATCACCATTTCATCAAGAGTAATCAGAGATTAATCGAATGCTCTAACACATTTCTGTGCAACATATTGAGAAACCTCGAAGAAGATCTCACATTTCATTGCATTTCGTTGAGACCCATAGGTCAATTAGCATTTCATGANGGAGATCTCACATTTCATTTCGTTAAGACCCGCAGGTCAAGTAGCATTTCATGAAATAAATTACGTAGAAAAAAAATTATAACATTGAAAGGACATCAACTTGCACATAGTATCCTACCTCGTTTGATAATAGAATTTTTGGAACAAAGTAAGAAATTCACTTTCCCAAAACCTTTTCGCTATTGTCGTGTCTATGTGCCAAGAAAAATGTCGAAATTATATTCTATAATAGAACATGAGTTAACTAATGATTGCCAAACACAAAACAAAATTTTGGATACCTCATGGATTTATGATTGATTCTACTTCAACATGGTGCCCAAACCCAATGCAATAGTTGTATATATATGAGATAAGTCCTTAAATCTAATGGCACCTAATTAGGTGTAATGGTGCTAATTATAAGACATGTTTTACCTATAATATTAACCTATTTAAATTCTTAAAATCATTTCCTTTCCTATCAATCTATACATGGCAAAAACATCCCTATATATTCCTAAAATCAAGACAAATAAAAAAATATTAAATTAAACCTAACTGACAACTCCCACCAATTTCCCAAGATCAAGGCAATGAAAAAGTAAAGAAATAATTGACAACTTCCATCAATTTAGCACATGTGTTTGACTCATATATTATTATTATTTTTCTTTTAAAATCCTTACATAAAAGAAACCAATTAATAACCACCAATACACGTGTCACTGTCACCACTTATGTTAATTCATTAATCAATTTAACTAAATTACAATTTAGAACAATGTTTTTTCGACTCCGATAACTTGGACCTCGCTTATCCAAATTAGCTTTTTCTTGAACCTAATATGTATGATTAATTACGAGGTATCTAATAAGCTCAATATTGATATATTTATCATTACTCTATTAATATTTATATATTTGGTCCAAATAAAATTGAATTTAATATACGTTACTCTAGTNATTTGGCCCAAATAAAATTGAATTTAATATACGTTACTCTAGTCCACCAACTTTCAAAATATGAAATATAGTAGATGAAATAAATAATTTTATTCTGTAAATTTTCGAGGTGTTATATAGACAAAGCTACTCTATTTTGCAAAGTAGTTTTCCAGCCGATAGCACAGCATCCAAGGGTAAACACATACCTTGTAAGTGATATGCTTTTATCAAGATCCCTGCATAATCTGAATCCACATAACCGATGACTCCATCTGAATTTATACCAAAATGCAAACAAGCATTTGAAGAGCCCCTCAAGTATCTAAAGATCCACTGTACTGTTTTCCATTATTCCTTGCCAGGATTAGCCATATATCTGTTAATTGCACTAACTACATGTGCTAAATCAGGTAATGTACAAAATATAGTGTACATAAGCAAACCAACTGCACTGGAGTAAGGAACTCGAGACTATAATCAATGTCTTCATCTGACTATGGACACAAGTTATATGATAGTTTGAAATGAGCTGCCAATGGAGTACTAACAACCTTAACTTTTACTATATTGAATCTTTCAAGCACCTTCTCAATGTATCCATTCTGACTCAAATACAATCTGCTAGCATTTCTATCCTTCAAGATCTCCATTCCATCAAAACCATGAGTAGTTATGAATGAATCAAACTATGTAGCAGGTTCCTCAATGGAATCAATGTCTTCAACCATACTCAATGCTTAAGCTACCAAATCTGCTTCCCCATACTTCTATGGAGGTCTAATCTATCTGCGAGGTCTGTCCTTAGCTATTGAATACTGTAGTACTGGTAGTGTAGGCAAAGCAGGCAAGATATTAAAATCTGCCAACCCCGAATCGAACTGATCTGTAGAAGAATGTTCTACAACCTCTGATTGTTCCTTTAAACAAATTTCCAACTCCACCTGAGTTGAATAATTCTACTTCTCAGTTTTATCAGAATCCCCAAGAGATAAACCATGCACCATAGCAACTTCATCAAATACTACATTTCTACTAACAGCCATATTTCTAGTCTCTGAACACCACAACTTATACCCCATTCGCACCTGATTTATACCCAAGAAAGATGAACTTTCTAGACCTAGGCTCCAACTTCCTATTATCCACATGAGCATAAGTTGGACACCCAAAATTTTTGCAGAATAGTAAGAAGGTTTACTAGATCATACCGCTATTGGTGTCTTTTTATCAATGGCAACTGAGATTGAACGATTAATCAGAAAACAAGCTGTAGTAGCAGCTTCAGCCCAAAAAGACTTAGGCAACCCGGAATTTGAAAGCATACAACGAATATTTTCCATCAAATATCTGTTCATCTGTTCTGCCACATCATTTTATTGAGGAGTTCCAGGCATTGTCAAGTGTCTCAAGATGCCTTCAGCCCTGTAGAAGCTATTGAATTCATTTGAGCAAATCTCCAACCAATTATCAGTGCGTAGACATTCACTTCCTTTTCGGTCTGCTTCTTTACCAATGTGTTCCACTCCTTGAAGGTCTCAAACACATCACTCTTCAGCTTCAAGAAGAATACCCAAACTTTACTGGAGAAGTCATCAATTACTGATAACAAGTAATAATACCCACCTTTAGATGTTACCCTGGCTGGTCTTCAAAGATCTGAATGGATATATCCAAGTGTTCCATTCGTGTTGTGTCTTCCTTTAATAAATCTGACTTTCTTCTATTTCACAAAGACGCAATACTCACAAAACTCTATTTTGCTGGTCTTCTACCTATCAAGAAGTTCCCTTCTATTCAGCTTTGAGATCTTATTCTCACTTATATGCCCGAGCCTCATATGCCAACGTTTTGAAACTTCATCATCCATCAAAGAAGAAGTAGAAACTGTTGCAACCCCAATCACTGTGGAACCGTGCAAAATGTACAGCTGTGTAGAGTTTTTATGCCCATTCATGACAACAAGAGCACCTTTGCTCACCTTCAAAACTCCACCTTCACCGATGTATCTATAGCTCTTTCAGTTCTAGAACATATCTTACATCTGTAAGTGTTCTGACAACCCCGTCAAACATTCTTATTCTAACGTACCAACTCCGACAATTTTGCAAGGTGCGTTGGTTTCCATAATCACAGCACCTCTCAAAACTCCTTCATAAGTAGAAAATCAATCCCTGTTAGGAACCCATTCATCACAAGGTTTAGAATTTTCGTCAGAAATCATAAGAAGCTCTCCACCACTTTGCTCATCTTTCACAACACCAGCCTCCGTTATATTAACAGGTTGCTTCCCTTTCTCTATAGCACCAGCAACTTTATTTCTATTTTTCAAGGCATAACATTCAGCTCTATTATGCCCTTTCTTCTAATAGTAGTGACATGTCTTCTCAGTATGTCTAG